TCCGAACACGGATACCATTCTGACCCTTACTTCAGCAGTTTGATTCCCTCAGTACAGTCGTCACGGAAGTCATTATGTCATTCATTCAGATCCCAGTTACAGTTTCAGATACACTCCAGACACGGAAGTCATTCTGCTACTCATACATAACTCAACTTCAGATACAGTCCAGATACTCTCCAGATACGGTTGACATTCTGTCACTCATTCAAAATTTATCCTCAGCATACAGTTGCTCCGTACACAGATATTTCTCTGTTACCCAGATACAATACAGATACACTCCAGACACGACAGTCATTCTGATATTCATTCAACATTCAAATACAGTTATAGCTCGGATAAGCCCCAGACGCGGAGGCCATTCTTTTGCTCATGCAAACTCAGTCTCCAGATACGCCCCAGAAGCAACTTGACATTTCTGTTAACACAAGCCAAAACAAACTTTGTGAACAAGTTCCAGACATCAAAACAAACCTAAGGCACGACCCTTCCATCCCTCATACCTCCTAATACTCAGAATCCCTGTTTTGCTGCAAAACAGGGCAAGTTTTGCAAACTTCAAGCCATAATCAATTCCTATCGTGCGTTTTGTCCAAAAGGGCTTCAAACACCTTCCATTCCATCCACCTGAACTATCCCAGACCTCCATTGCAAGCTGTAACACCTCTAACCCACTTTGCCATTTTCATTTCAAAGCTTTGCATGTGGAGTTCTACAGCACGATTCAGTTTGTTTCAAAGCAAGCCAAGCATTGGAGAAGCTTCCTTGGACCTCAGGCAAGCTCAACAGAAGCTCAAACACCATTGAAGGTTGCTGCATTGCCCTACTCGATTCAAACTGAAACAGGTATTTCATGGACTTCTATCTCTCTATTTAGGAATGGTTAGGCTTAGGTTTGTGAATGAAATATGTTGTACTCATAGCCCTGAAGCCATACATATGCTTAGTTTTCATTTTCATTAATCGTGCTGAGAGAATTTCATCCATGAACATGTGAAAAAAGTTAGGTCAGGTTTTAGGGCCAGAGAAATTCTCTCTGGTCTTTGAGAGTTAATCCAAGTTTTTTATATGGTTGAATTCGTTATTTGATGCTCTACAAGTTTCATGTTTTAAGTTTTGTCAAAAGATCAAAGAATCAGGAGATAGCATTTGAACCAAGAAGCGCGCGCGTTTAACAGTCTGGAGGTTGAAGATGATGGCTTGGGCTGGGCCTGAGTCATTCTTGCTTCTAACACCCATTTGTTCAGTTTGCACCCCCCTGGCCCATTTGATTGAATATTTGTCATTTTTATGTTTTTATTTTTTTCTGACTTTATATTTTTTGTTCAAATATAAAAAATGCCAAAAATGATTTTCCATATTTTTTCATATTTATTTGATATTTATTGCATTTTATTAAACATATATGTGTAAATAATCTAGTTTCTTTTTATTCAACCCCTAGAAAATAATATAAAATATATATTTATTTTTTAGTTATTATTTTTATTTACATTTTGAAAACATTTTCTTGAATATACATTTTTTGTAAATAATTAATTCTTTTATCTTTGTATATTTAAAATGATAAATATATATATACTTGTATATTTTATTTTATTAGATAATTAGGACAAAAATATAGAGATAATACATTTTTATTTTTATTAATATTTGACACTAAAAATACTTTTTTTTAACAATATACTTTTATTTTTGCATAAATTAATATATATTGTATATAATTAATAAATATTGCCATTTATTTGAAAATTAGGGTTTTCCCCTAAATGACCAAAATAATTAAAATTTGACTTTTTTTTATTTGTTTATATTTCACATTAAAAAATACCCTTTTCACATACATAAACAATCTTTTTGCATAATACATTTTATTTGATATTTATTTAATTGTGTTTATTTAAATGATAAATATTGACTTGTACATTCGATATGGTTGTAATAACTTAGAATTTATTTCCTTATCAAATATCCCCAATTCAAATTTGTATCCCCCTCCCTATATCATGTTGTAATAGTGTAGCGTTTAAATTCTCGCACATTTAAAAGCTTTCAATTATACCATGCTTAGACCTAGGGTTTGTATGAAAATAAAATCAACAAGTAGCTTGACCTAATCCAAGATAAACATGCATGAAAAACAAACATAATGCATACTTGCACCCCTAGGGTTTCATCCACTTGTTGCCTTCAAAAAAATGGGCCATGGTTGCATGTCAAGTGCTTTGGCAAAACAAAAACAAAACAAAAGATCATAGTCCCTCGATGACGCTATCTTAGTTGCCTAAAAAATGATCAAGTCCCTCAAGAAAATTGCCAAAGATACTTGACACTATTGCTATCATGGTTTATACGATGACCCGCGCCCGTCCCGTTTAACATCCTAACACAAGGTTGTTCACCAAATACAATGGTGAAACAACACTGTTAAAAGGGTTAAAAACATAAGAAAGATCTTTGAGTAAAAATAGGGTAGATAACTCTTAGTTACTTGATCAAGCTTGCAAAGACATCCTTGCTACTTTTCAAAACACACTCCACAACACAATTTCAAAACCCTACTTTCAAACATTGAAAACTTTTCAAAAGACAAAAACACCTTTCTATAAATTCAAACAAGAATCATTACAAAGGTTGCCACAATGATGGCCTCTTTTCAAAATATCTTTCAAAATCACACACAAAGCACCATTTCAAACAATTGAAAAGCACCATTTCAAACAATTGAAAATCAAAGCAAGTGATCTAAGCAAGTAACTAAGAGCCCATGGATAACCATGGATAGAAAGGGTGCTAATACCTTCCCTTTCTATAATTTACTCCCCGTACCCAAGAAAACATCTCAAAGGTCTTTCTTGTGCTTTTTGACCTTTCCTTAGGATAAAATAAAAAGTCGGTGGCGACACTTGCTAAACCGTAATATTTGCGAACACAAAACGCAAAAACCCAAGTCAGTTCTCCCACCGTATCACATATAGGCTTCATGCTATGTTACAAGTCAGATCCCTTCCTTGTATTGGCATCATGCTACGTTACAAGTCTGGTCTCTTCCTTGTATTGGCATTGCGCTATGATACAAGTCTTTTACGCCTTTGTGTTTGCATCAAGCTACATTCCAACACTAGCCGTGTTAATTTCTAAACACTAGCCATATGGATTTCTAAACATTCATCGCGTCCTGATCGATGTCTCCCTTTTGGTTATCATGTCATGATAGATACCTCTCATACATATCATCGTGTCCTGATCGATGTATTCCTGTTAGCCATCGCGTCCTGATCGATGTCTTCCTTTTGGTTATTGTATCCTGATCGGTACCTCTCTTATGAATCATCGTGTCCTGATCAATGTATTCATGTTAGCCATCGTGTCCTAGTCGATGTCTTCCTTTTGGTTATAATTTCCTGATCGATACCTCTCCAATGAATCATCGTGTCCTGATTGATGTCTCCCTCTCAATCATCATGTCCTGATCGATGTACTCTGATGTCGTCGTGTCCTGATCGACGTATTCCTCCGGTTTAGTCCCACCTTTTTTTTAATTCCCCAGTGGATATCACAAAAAATAAATAACACTCACACTTTCTTTCAGAACAAATTTTTGGCATTGGTATTTAATCATCTTCAACCTTGAACTTCCGAAAAGCACACGCCAATCGTACTTTCAGGTTTAAGACGATTAAATAGGGGCAGCTGTAATACCCCAAATTTGTCCTACCCTCTCACTTTTATCTGGCTTATGAATTTTTCGCTTCTCATTCCATCTGTATATCCTCCATTAGGTCATTTAACACATCATACATCATCAATCAGTAAATTTGGCATGAGAACAAGGATCGTGAAATTAGGGTTTCTGTATGGCTTTGAGGCCTTATCTTCATTCAAGAGGTTAAAGTCGTTTCTTCAATATTCATGGTTGGATATAGGGTTTTGATTCGTGGTTGTTGTGGACTTATTTCTTATCAGGCTACAAGGGTATCTTCCTTCAAGTTTATCAAGGGATACAATCGTTTGTATCAATGTTACTTCAAGAACTAAGTGTGTTAGGATTGTGAATGCTAGGGTTTCATCAGGTATTCAGATAAAGATATTTTGAGTTAAATCTTGGTTTCTTATCAATATCTCTGTATCATTCATTCACCAAGGTGCATCTCAAAAGGATTAAGGTTCTTATCCATGGAATTTGAATGTGTTAATTCATCAATTGGAGGTTCATTGGACTCACATGTTATGCTATCTTGTTCATTATTCCTCCCATGTCTCAAGTTACATGCTCATTTTCAAAGTTCCATATGCATTTTCAAAGGATCCCTCAAGACATGGTCACCGTGTTACAGGATAAGATTTATGGATTCAAGACATCAACACTATTCTTTCAATTGATTGTTGTTTATAATGAGGATTTAAGATTCGAAAGTTGTGGTTTCTCTGAGAAGTGAGAACGGATTGGAATTCATTCTTTGGAAGTATTCATTCAAGCTTTTTAGTATGTCCAAAGTTAATTAATTGGTTCAATGTTCTTAGGATGCACACATATTAAGATTGGTCATACGGATTTCTTGAGAGATAAGGAATACATTATAAGGCAAAGGCATCAAAGTTACAGAGGAAATCATTAAATTCACGACCATGCTTTTCGTTCATTCACATCAAGTCATATACCATATAATCATTCGAGTTCCATTCATGTTATCTAACATCATTCGAGGTTTCAATCAAGGATTCATCAAATCTCATTCAAATTCAAAAGGAATACAAGTTATAGCCCAATTTTCTTTCCACTGTTGAGCAGTTATATGAAGGAAAGAAATTATTAGACATGTTCTACAATCAAAGTCCATGAACCTGAACCTAAGCCTAAGTTTCCCTCTAAAAGAAACTATGCCATAACTAGGTCTCCAAGCAGCAAAGTCGGTTCAATTCCTTCATTCCCCAAATTCATTTGCCACCATCTTCAAGCTCTTTGCTCAAAGTCCAAGTTAACCATGCCTTTTCCTTCAAGCCATGACTCTTAGCTCACGATTCGCAAACTCGCAACCAAACTGAAAAGGCGTTTCATGCTTGTCACAACCTGCATAGATATAAAAAAAACATGATGAGTAACTTGTTAATTACACCAGGTACAAAACAATCATCCAAAGCATAGCAACATTGCATACAAGACAGTCCAAGACAGACCCAAAGACCATAATCTTGCAGTAGGATGTGGTTTCAGATTATCACTTCTCACGCCGGTCAGTTCAGAAGCAATGTAATTGAGTTTTGTTGCACCAACCCATAGAAATCTGGATTCAACAAAAGGGAAAATCTAGCATCAGCCCATACAAATTCAAGAACATATTCAAATTCAAACAAAGAAAAATTCCATTTTACTGTCAATTCCATAACAATCTAACAGTAACAAACTATCCTAACCGAAACAAAGTCAGCATTCTAATAACTAACTACAAACTTTCTAGCCCCTGATGGTTTCTAACCAAACAACTAACAAACTTTAAAATATATTAAGATAATCTCCTAACTAACTGATCTAAAGCAGACTTCCTCTAAACATTTTCTAACTGCTAGAAACAACAAAAAACAGAATTCTGACTAAACCCCCACCAATTATCCATAACAGAATTTAACCAACCAGAACCAAACAGAAAAAGAAATCCTAACATATCATAGCAGAAATTCCCAACTAACTTCTAACCTCACTAACCAACTACCTATATCAGTTTCCAACCAATTCCCGATCAGCCTTACAATCATAGACAGAAAACCAGCTTCTTGTAATGGAATCATAACCAACAAAATAACAGAATTGTTCAGTTCATAACCAACCTTTTCTTTTTTAACCCCATAGCACAAAATGAAATTGGTTTTTAACAGTTTTCTAACTAGTTGTTTATAATTCCCAGCCTATAACCTTCCTAACCATAATATCCAACAACCTTTCACAAAAATCCCCCAGTTAATTTCCCAACCATAACTAACCTCCTAACTGCCAAAACTTTAACTAATTCTCACTCTCTTAACTATCAAAAACCAGTTTTAACTAACCTGTAACCAATTCCTATTCTCTAACAAAATTTCTAAACTGTTTTAAAACAAATTAATTCCAACTCATCTTAACTGTCAAAATAGACTCAGCCCTATTCATAACCCCCTTAACTATTGCCAACCATCTTCTAACTGTTTCTAACAGAACCCAGCCAACTAATCCCAACTAACCATAACAGATTTCTGATTGTAACTAACTTCCAAAATATCCTATAACCAATCTCTAACAGAATCCTAACGACCTCAACAGAAAAATAGAATCATAACTAGCCCTAACATCTAACTAACTTTCATCCAGCTCTCTACTAACGAATTCCCAATAGAATCTCAACAAACTTCCTAACCGTAACAGAAAAAGTAAATCATAACAGAAAGAGAGGGAAAGAGGATTCAGAACTCAATATTCATTCACACTATAAAAGGAAAAGAAAATCAGAGATAGAGAGGACACCATGAAAAATCTATGACTCATCTTTCCATTTTTTGTTTCATCACCTTCAAAAAATTCTATGTGCTTCACATCTTCATCCTCTTCTCTACTATGTTCACTCCTCTGTATCCACGCTGCACATCTTCATCACTCCCTGCAATTTATATGAACCATAACAGCAACTTCAATCTTGATCTTCATCTTCTGCAAATTGAACCTACTTCGTTCCTCTGCATCATCTTCATCAACACCTAATCTTCATTTGTGTTCTTCATCAATATTCTTCATTTTCATCGAACCTCGCATGCACAACAACGATGATATTCACATAAAAGAAAAGGAAATAGATTAGAAGGATAAGAGCGAATTTGTATACTAAGAATCAAGCGTATTCGTACCTGAACATTCAAAACATCATCTCTGGTTTTCTAATCAACATCATCAAGATCCAAGGGTCACCGAAGCATCTCCGATAGGTAAGATTCCTTTTCCCTTATTCCTTCTTTTTCGCCTTTTTCTGAATACCGTTATGTAAAGTGGAATCTCGAAGATCGTGACCCCTTATGATCATGGTCGTGAGCTCAATATTCATCATGTAATTCAAACTTTTAGTTTTTAGGTTTTTTTTTGGTTAGATATAAAGAGAACATAAAAGGATCAACAGAGATGAAGAGCGAAATCAGATAAGGATATTGATGTATCAGCAATGGTGGAACAAATAAGATGGAAGAGGGTTGGTTGATCAGCGATGGTGATGAGCAAGGAATATTGGAGAAGCAGACATCGCAGCGGTGCGTTTTTCTTAAGATATGAGGAAGAATGTGCTCTCACAGCTAGAAGTCCAATAGTAACTTCTTTAAGCCCTGACACACCAACATAAACTGCAGCGTTCCATGTGTTGCTCTTTTTTTTTTTTTTTTAAAAAATCCCTTTTATTGATTAAAAGATGATAAATCTGTTGTTGATATTGATGGGCTTGGATCGGATTGTTGTACCCTTAGGCCTGTTTTGTTTTTTTTTGGAAGTTGGAACAATAAGTTCTCATGGATTCTGATTGGACGGGCCTAGCATCCTGGCTTCTATCACACTCCCTGGACTCAAATTAGCGCCCCCTGGATTCACTAATTCTTCATTAGAATTAAGACTTTTTTGTTGATTTTTGCCAATAAAATACATGATGGAAATAATATAAAAGTCCATGGAAATAGTAGATTCTAATAGAAATTTTAGGAATTATATCTCTAGTTTTTTTGAATTTTTCTTACATAAAAACTAGTAAAAAAATGTTTTTTTCTCTTTTAGTTTTTTTATTCACCTTTTCGTACCATTTTGCCATGTTATATTTTGAAGCATTTGTTCATTGTGCGAGGTATACTTTTGTGCTTTCGATCATGTAACATAACAGGTAGTTATGTGATCGAAGCATATGGCTTATGCTCACTTCTGATGCGACACGCCTTATTTCTCATTGTCTTGAGGAATTCATATCGTATTATATGTTGTCCTTATAAATGCGATACTTTATGAGTTTTATGCAGGAACTTCGGATTACGCGTTGCATTCGCAATAGCGTTTGCCTTTATCTTAGTCGGATATTATTTCTGACTTTGTTTGTTTCTTGGTGAAGCTTTCTCGACACGTACTCTCTGCTTCTCCATTGCTTTCGTCTTCTCTTAATGATTTGCTCGCTTTGGTAGTCGCCACTACTACCTTCATACTTCTACGCACCTTACTACATTCATTTACTGCTTTTTCTAGATACCATGGGAAGTAGGAAATAAAGAGCATGCGCTCGAAGTCGTTGTTTAAAGACCTGTAGCAGGCATTCTGCACTTCATTTTCTATATGTGTTGTGCTTGTGTTTATTTCTTTGGTTGTTGATCGATGAGTCACTCAATTTAGAAATTTAGATCACGACTTCGCTCTCAGTTCATGCTTCCTATAGGATTTTATCTCTTTCCTTTATTTCTTGTTGATCGATGAGTCACTCAATTTAGAAATTGAGATCACGACTTCACTCTCATTGCGTGTTCCCTATAGGATAATTTTGTTGTTAAACTTTCTTTGGCATGCTAACTTAGATAGGATCTCTCTAGGTATGCTCTCTTGAGCTTATTAGCTTGTTTGCTTTATCCTTGTACATACCATGTTCCCTTAGGACATGCTTGCTCCCTTCGGATGCAAGTTAGACCTTAGGTTGCAAACCATGCATGCTAACATTAGGTAGAGATTCCCCCTTTTATCCTTGACGTAGGACCATCATTGCATGATAACATTAGGTTTATAAATAGGCCAGTCTCCCTTTGACTTTTATTTCTCCTTTTGCATATGCATTTAAAACAAAAAACTTCTTTTCCCTTTCAAACTTCAAAACACTTTAAGAATCACTGATAAGAATCATACTTTTGTTGAGTATGAGAAATGATAAGCGGGTCTCTTCTCGATCTTATTGATCTTCCATATTAAACCTAGGTGTGGTTCAAGTCTTAAAGACTCCTTTCATGGATAAGTAGAAAAGCGGCTAATTTCTCTCTCTTGAGGTCAACTAGTCATTATCTGCAACAAAATACAAACCAGCTCAAACCATTTTATGCGCTCGAGCCCCTTTTCTCTAAAACCCTTTTCAGGTAAGGACATGGTTATTTTACTTCTGTTCCAACTCATAAGTCTCCAAAGGTCGAGCTTCCGCAGAAGTCGGAATTAACATTGTTCATAAAAAACACAAAACAAACAAAAACATGTGAGCCGAACTACGGTAGCTCTGATTCCTCAAAAAGGATACGTAGGCATTGGGGTAGGGCCCAAACGAGTACAACTTTATTTTCCCTACATTCTTTTCTCCTTTCTTTTGGATGCAATCTTTAGCAGTAGTAAACAGTAATCATAGATTAGACACACCCATAAGATAGATAACACGAGTGGATACCATAGAGTACTACGGGCGTGTGGGGTGCTAATACCTTCCCCTCGCGTAATAAACTCCCTTACCCGATCTCTTGGTTGCAAGACCATGAATTCTACCTTCTCAAGTCTTCTCGATGTTTGCCTTTCCCTTCATGCAGGATAAAAGACGTTCGATGGCGACTTCATTGTTTGATGATTTTCAGCCAGTTGTTTCAACGGGCGCCGAAGTTATCCTCGAGGTGAGGATGTTCTTGGCTTTCATCGGTCTTGCATACCAGGGAGAGTACAGTCTTTCCAGATAGTTGGTGATCATCATGGTCGGCCATGATTGATGAATGAGGAGGATCTTTGGTCTTCAGATTCAGAGGATATAAAATATGGAAGATATTTTCCCACATACGACGCCACTGATCTTACCGGTTGATTTGAACCTGTAAGCTGGCCGGAGGATGATCTTTGACGGGATGGAAAATTGAGGAGAAAATGGGCTTGTACCTGCAAGGCACTCTGACGATCAAGTAAGTGTGGGAGCAAAGAGATACAAGCAAAGTATTATGGTTTAAGTGATGAATAATGAATACTTGGCCCTCACAAGTGTGAGGGTTTATATAATACCCTTGGCGCGTAGCCATTGGTTCCTATTTTTGGGCCTAGATATTCGGGTCTATGAAAATAGGAACTTCTAGGACTCGGTTAAACCGGACAGAGTGTACACAACTAGTCGTTAGTCCCGAGGAAGAGGTAGGTTACTGGAAATGATCTTGTCATTTTCTGGTTGTCTGGTCGAGTAGATGTCAGATCCTGGTTTTCTGGTAGACTTGATGTCGGGCAGACGAAGAAGTGTATGTCGGACGCTGCCGGTCTCACTAGTCTAAGAGGGTAATTGATTGATGGTTCTCGACGGAGGGCAGGGGACTTCGGGCCATGGTTGTACGGGTCGTGCTGAAGGTGGAATATAGACTGGGCCCACTCTAGCCATTGTGCCAGTCCAAAATAATAACCAATATCTTTTGTAGCGTTTCTGCTTACACCATAGATCATTGAAGCCATGCCGCCTCTACCTAGGATTCAAACAAGAAGTTTTTAGAATGATTTGTCATATTTCTTTATGACATCATCAGTGCTCACAGAAGCTTCTGACAGAAATTCCTTCTCAATATTTGTACTTTTTCTTTGGAGAACAGAGTAGTCAATCGTAAGAATATAATTTTCTTCTCTTAAAGATGAAAAGTCTTCCTTAATCTTGTTTTGTTCTTTATAAGTAGATTCATGGATCTTTTTAAGTTCCTTGAATTCATTCTTAAGAAACTCATGTTTTATCAAGAATTTCAAGTAAAGAGCAGGTTAATTCAGGATGAGTAAGGTAAGAAAATACCTCTTCTATGTTTGAATCAGAGTCTGCAACATC